CCTCGGCCTCTTCCTCTTCACTATCGCCCGCGACCCGCTCCGCATCATCATCCTCATCGCCGGGTCAGTCCCGCACCGGCACCGGCACCGGCACCGGGAGGGCACTGGTGCCACCGTGGGTACTGGTGTGGGCGTGATGGGCGCACTGATACTGGTATCGGTACTGCTGTGGCACCAGTATCGGTGCTGGTACCAGTATGGGCGTGACAGGGGCGCTGGTACCAGTGCTGGTGCTGGTACCAGTACGAGTGTGACAGGGGCACTGGTACCAGTGCCCCTGTCATGCCCATACTGGTACAGCACCTGCACTGGTACCAGTGCCCCTGTCATGCCCATACTGGTACAGCACCTGCACTGGTACCAGTGCCCCTGTCATGCCCATACTGGTACAGCACCTGCACTGGTACCAGTGCCCCTGTCATGCCCATACTGGTACAGCACCTGCACTGGTACCAGTGCCCCTGTCATGCCCATACTGGTACAGCACCTGCACTGGTACCAGTGCCCCTGTCATGCCCATACTGGTACAGCACCTGCACTGGTACCAGTGCCCCTGTCATGCCCATACTGGTACAGCACCTGCACTGGTACCAGTGCAGGTGCTGTACCAGTATGGGCATGACAGGGGCACTGGTGCTGGTGTCGGTGCTGGTACCAGTACGAGTGTGACAGGGGCACTGGTACCAGTGCAGGTGCTGTACCAGTATGGGCATGACAGGTGCACTGGTGCCTGTGCTGGTGCTGGCACCAGTATGGGTGTGACAGAGACACTGGTACTAGTGCTGGTGCTGGTACCAGTATGGGTGTGACAGGGGCACTGGTGCTGGTGTCGGTGCTGGTACCAGTATGGGTGTGACAAGGGCACTAGTACAAGTGCTGGTGCTGGTACCAGTATGGGTGTGACAGGGGCACTAGTGCCGGTACCACTATGGATGTGACTGGGACATGACTGGTGCTGGCAGAGGCACAATGGGGGAACCAGTACCAGTGCCATTGTGGGTACAACATGGGCACTGGTACCAGTACTCATACTGGTGCTGTTGCTTGCGTGACAGGAGCACCAATACTGTTTCTCTTACTGGTAGAGTAATGCGTGAGTTAGGGGCACCACTACTCATACTGGTGGTCGTGGTTGTGACAGGAGCACCAGTACTGGTGCTCATACCCTTGTGAGTATGACAGGGGCACCACTATCCATACTTGTACTGGTACCATTGCAGGCACAGCAGGAGCACTGATACTTGTACTGGTACCATTGTGGGCGTGACAAGGGCACCAGTACTGGTACTTGTAGTGGTGCCATTCTTTGCACAACAGGGGCACCAGTACTGGTGTTGTACTGGTACCACTGTGGTCACCGCATGGCATGGGCATGATGGGGAGACACTGGTGTCAGTAACGGCATGGGATTGGTGGGGCACCTGATACCAGTAGCAGTGCAGGGTTGGTAGAGGTACTGGTGCGTGCATGCAGCAGGGGCACTGGTACCAGTAACACTGTGGGATCGGTGGGGTATGGTACTGGAACTGCTACCAGTGAGGATATGATCCTGGTGCTGGTACTGGCACTGGTGTGGGCACAACGCAGGTGCTGGTGCCAGTTCTGGTTACCAGCAGAGGAGTGCAGGCCCAGCAGCGGTACCAGTATGGGCACCACCTGCCCAGCACCGGTACCAATCTGGGGCACAGCTTCCAGTGCCAGTACCGACACAGAGGGGTGCTGATGGGCATGGCACCAGTACCGGCACGCAGCACCGGTTCCAGCAGGTGCTCTCTCTCTCGCAGGGCTTTCTTCTGGCTGGTGTCGCTGCTGCTCTCCTCCCTCATCTGGTTTGTCGCCGTTAAAGCCAGTGACCCCCGAGATGAGCCGTTACAGAAGGGGCTCTTGATATTTGGGGTGATGTTCTCTGTGCTGCTGCAGGAGGCCTTCCGCTTTCTCTACTACAAGCTCCTCAGGTAAAGGCACCTCCCACCCTGCTCTAGCGCTGGCTGCTGGTCCTTCCGTCCTCCCGGCCATGGCAGGTGCCAGATTTTGGAGCTTCTGGGCTGGGGTGGGGGATGCCAAGTGTGGCACCAAAGCCACCTCAGTCCTCCCTGGGAGTGTGTGTGTGGTACCTGGGTCAGTGTGTTGACCTCAAGTGAGTCTCGGGTGGTGGAGCAGAGCAGCCCTAAGGTATGGAGGACCCAGGGCTGAGGTGGCTTGTCCCTCCTGAATTCGGCACAGGTAGGCTGTGCGTTTGGGCTGCTGCAGGACGTGTTACATCCTCTCTGTCCTGGTGACTAGCACCAGCATTGCTCCTGCAGCTCAGGGGGACACCAGGCACTGGGAAATGCCCGCTTTGCTGCATGGGGGACAGAGAAGGGTTAGTGATCTGCCCTCGCCTCCTGGCGAGTCTTGTTCCTTTCTTAGGGACCATTTTACATGAGCAGGGACAGCCTGAAGGTGGTTTTGGGGCTCTGCGGGGTGGCACGTTGCCACTGGCGCTGTGCTCCGCGCCCTGACCAGCCCGGGGCAAAGTCTCATCACAACCTCAGCAGCTCCCAGCCTCCCTGGCCCCGCCAGCCCGGGGCGCAGGGGCTTGTGCTGCCTGGAGGGTGAGCATACGCTGCACCCAGTCCGGCGTTCGGACGGATGGACACTGCGCTGGGGCTGGGCAGGCGGACAAGGGGAGGCGATGCTGGGGTCAGCATCCCTCATACCCTGCAGCCTTCTCGGCTGGCTGGGCCCTGGCAAGGGGCTGGGGGCAGGCTGGAGGCGGCAGGTACGCAGGCTCGAACTGCTCTCTGGAGCAGGGCACTGCCAGAGGCGGGCAGGCAGAGGGTAGCAGAGCTCCGCGGAGCAGCCTCTAGCACGAACCACTGCGTTTCATTTGTCCTGCGGATCTCCGATTCCAAGCACTGCTATCCGGGCTGAGGAGCCACCTGGCGTTTTCCTGACTCGCCACACCTCTAGCTGATAAAAATTCTGAAGCCCATCTCTCCCAGTTTTTCTCCCTAAAGAATTTTTCTAGCTCTTTGAGGTCTTCCCTACGCCCCCTCCATTTTTTTTCAATGTCTAAGAGTACAAATACGGAGATCAGGTACATGCTCCCGGCATATGCCTCCCACGCCTGCTCTTGGCGCCACTTTCCATGCAGGGGTGCTGCTTGCTTTGCACCCGATGTCCCACTCGCTGGCACTCACATTCCTCTGTGGAAAATCTTGCTTTGTGGCTTTGCATGGTTTTCACGTGTGTGGTTTGTCCCGTGGTTCAGGGTGATCACATGGATGCTCTCCATGGTGGGTGTTGCAGCTCGGTGATGGGGAGGTTACCAGGAGGGTGGGGTGGTGCAGAGTGAGATCCTGGTCCTGTTGTCTGTTCCACCCTGGTGCTGCACCATGCCTTGGGAGGTGGCCAGGCTGTGCTGGGCTCCAGCATGCTCTCATCCCACAGGAAGGCCATCGAGGGGCTGGTGGCTCTCAGCGAGGATGGCTGCTCCCCGATTTCCATCCAGCAAATGGCATATGGTGAGTGCCGCACAGAGCGGGGCACCCTGACCGTG